TTGGCGCTCGGCGATCTGGAGCGCACCCCTGCCTGCCTCGCACAGACTCAGATCACCACTGTAGGCACCCAGTCGGCTGTGTTTACCTTTGCCTAGAAAACTAGTTTATAAATAAGCAGTTTCGATCTGAAGCTTTTGTTCGGCGCCCACGTGATGTAATTGGTACACGCACATCTACTGTCGGCACAACTGGTAGCTCTCCCATTGGCACAAAATAAACTCTGCTGTAGCCTGTCTTGATGCTAGTAGCTTTTGCTTGTGTTAGTCATGTGAATTCCAGAGGCAAAATGTTCATGCATTTACCAAGGCGGTTTTCTGATATGAATCAGAGCTGCTTCCGTCTACGGCTGCGACGAATAAGACAGGATTTGTAGTCACTGACCAATGTAATAAAAACTTAACCAAAATTTTGAAGCGCGTTTTCCCTTAGGAAGGAATACTTAAGCGGGATTGTAATATTTATTATCTTGGGGTATAATCCCCGAGATATTGCTGACAGGACAGGATGCCGGCTCTTGAATGCACGCCTTTTCGGCCGCATGCATAAACCCTCTGCGATAAACAGATAACAACTTCATTGGTATGTACTTTTTTATGATGATTTTCGTTGCCCTTATAAATTAAGATATATTTCATAGAAAATGCAGGCAAACATTCTTTGTTATACTAATGTTATACTAAGTATTGTTTCCTAATCGAAAACGCATTTCAGGAGTTCGGTTAAGGTGCCATGAAATTTTTCCCTGACTGTATCAGCGCCTCCTTCACATTAGATACTAAATAGCATAAAACAAACCCATATGCCCTCCTTCAATTCTGGACCGAATGAGCATACGGGTACACCTCCTCATCATTTGCTCACAGCATCAGTTATGTTGAACCGGCGTACACGCGTCCCTGGAACGGTTTCTGTTTTACCAATCACACCCCTTCGCGTAATCCCACATATAATTTTATCCTTTCTATATTAGTGGACGACGATGACGCTACGCACTCGGGTTCCCATATGGGCCAAGCGGCCAGTGGATCCGAGTTGGCCAGCGGATGCTTCGCTCACCAGTTCCACCCCTGCGATCACCCGGGCAGTCGGTGCAATGAATACTGCTCCTGTCGTCAGGCGGGCACCTTCTGCGAGAAGTTTTGTCAGTGTCCCAGTGACTGTTCAAATCGGCAAGTCTACATTCAATCTTCAGAAAAGCACATATTTATCAAGGCTACTAGAAATAAGTGACATGTTGACCATAAAATTTGGCAATGCCCGAGGACCGAGTTTTATACGTTGGAAGCGGCATTACCAAATGAACGGATACGGTGTTTTATGAATAGATATTTCATGGTCTTAAAAAATCTCATAACTAAAAATGCATTTGAGGCGAAGGATATTTTTTTTCAAGTAGAACATTTGAGGAAGACGTAGTTTACTCAGCAATGAGGACAGAAAAAGCGTATTTCAGGGATACTTGCAATAAGATATTAATGAAATTATAAGGGTTTTAAGAATCAGTGAGAAAACTGCATACTATTTAAGCTGTCGTTTTCACAGAGCACAGTGTCTGCAGATAACTGAAATAAAGCTCGTTCGAAAATGGGCTTTCTGATGTGACTGATAAATCATTAGATTATGCATCACGGTAATTAATTCTAAGAGCCTACTTAAGAAAGAATCTCCTGAATCGAAAACACTTTTCAGAATTTCGGTAAGTGTGGATTTAATTTGTTTGGGTTCTTCTCACTTTCTGTCCTGTTACCCAACATTCACGTTTGCCGTGAGCCTGACAGAGAAAGAGAGAGACCTCAAGTTTGAACATACTCTCAAGTAGAAAAAAGCATAATTTCGACTGGGCGCTGCCTTCACGAAGTTGTCGTGACCAAACCACGTTTATTTTGCATACCTCTCAACAGTTCTTTTTTCCTTCACGTCACTTCCTTCAGCTTCACTGGATGTCGCTGTCGAGGCCAATGCAACACGCGTCTCTGTCCGTGCATGCTGGCAGTCCGTGAGTGTGATCCGGATCTCTGTCTTTCATGTGGAGCCGGGATCCCGGGCCAACCCCTTTTGCCATCGGATCCCGAGAAGAAGTCCTGCACTGATGTGGCTGGCAACTCAAACAGCGCTGATACGAATACTCCCGGTCGATTGCCGATTGCACCGGGCACCACTTGCCGCAATGTAGCAATTCAGCGCGG